AAGATGGTATGGCAATCAAGCACCAAACTTGGATGTGGAGTGAAATGGTGTGACTCTATGACGTTTGCAGGCTGTCAATACGTGAAGCAGTAAGTCCATTAAAACATCGTGTTTCTTTCTTCACCTGTGTTGAATTTACTTACCTGTTCTCTTCAAAATGGTACGTAAAGCTGACTTCAGAGGGAACTGGTTCGATGAAGAAATTTACGAGAAAGGAGAACCGTGCTCAAAGTGCAAGTGCAAGAAGTGCAAATGTGATGCGAAAGTTGGGCTTTGTTCTATACGCAAATGAAGAAGCAATAAACTTCTCAGTATTTCATAGATCATTCTCACCAAGATGCTACCGCAGACTCTCCAGCAAGTATTTTCTCGAAAACACTAGAAAAACTCTGCTGAATTCCATAGTAGTCATAAATGAGAGCAAGGATATCAGTAGAGTCGATGAACAGTGATTATTATTACACGCTACAATTCTCGAAACATTTTGTACTACCAATATCAGCAGAAAAACCGTTGCCTAAGCTTTTTTTCGTTGATGCAATGAGATTCTGAAAGGAAAACACAAAGGAGCTTAAATTGCTTGCTAAGCGTTGAACAATGGCTCTACTTTATCCTATCGCCATAATCTATTCGAGGAAAGTGTATTATTACTCACAAATGGAGATTTTTTCGAGCTCAATCTGTCAGTGGAAAGATCGAGAAGCACGTTTCTCTTTTACTCCCTCACTCTAATATGTTGAAAATCTCAATCACTTCTAAGAACATCCGGTTCTGCAAGCCAACTAAACGGAATATGAGTTCAACAACAGTGGATTCTTGAGTAGTACCAATCACTTGACCGATAAGAAATAAAATCGAATTTTGTACCAGTATTTGAATTTAATTTTAGGGTGAGGTCGTATAGCGGCAATTTGCGCAATATAACACACACGTGGTTCGCGGATCAAACCCGGGCCGGTATCCGCCCAGGCTAATCAAGCTTCCCTCCTATCGCAGCCGGATGATTGATACCATATTCGTTTGGGAGGACAAAGGCAGTTACAATACATCAACTGGGCAAGTCATCGTATGAGTCAAATACGCATTCGAAGCGCCCCTACGATTCCGAATGGAAAACGGACTACATCCTTAGCATTTTGGGTAATAGTGCCTTCAGAAACGTAAGCCGATGGCGGATAGAAAACTTGGCCGTCATCGAGTTCTGCAGGAAATATAGTCGAAGCACAACAAGAATAGCATTGAAGGAGACCAATGGAAAAGTTGGCGACTACGTTTAGCAAGTAGAGGTTTGATATTATCCTGAAAGCTCGAAAGAAACTTTAGTTGCAAAAACTTGAATTGTGACAGAGTACAGCAATAATGTACGCTTTTGCTCATGCTTACTGGCGTTACTTCGAGCCTGGTTCCGCCACTTGTTTTTAAATCAAACAAAGAAAAATTTAGTAAATTAGTTATTTTTGGTAGTTTGTAGTAAGCTACCTCCTCTAATGCCGACTCAAATGCGAGCTAGCATCTGTAAGTTCATCAGCATCATCAACAGCTAGACGAATATCCAACAAGCCGGCAAGTCGAGTTTAATGAAGTCAAGCTACTCAAGTCATAATCCGTCAGCCGTAAAGTGAATAGCAACAAAGTTGCTGTATTAGCGATTGACCCATTGTATCAGCGAAAAAATGGTTAGGTTACAACTACTTCCGCCGAAGGTGGTAGAAGCAAATATTCCGATAAAAAATAATGTTAAAATTATAAAATTAATATTATAAAATATAGATAATAATATTCGCTGATCAGGGGACACTATTAGTATCCCATGTCATTTTTTTCGTTTACGACTACTATAGAATTCGATAGGGTGTTTCTAGCGGTTCCAAGAAAGACTATTAGCATATCCTTGCTGGAGAGCCTGGAGAGCCTTCAGTCATCGTNTCGAGTTTAATGAAGTCAAGCTACTCAAGTCATAATACGTCAGCCGTAAAGTGAATAGCAACAAAGTTGCTGTATTAGCGATTGACCCATTGTATCAGCCAAAAAATGGTTAGGTTACAACTACTTCCGCCGAAGGTGGTAGAAGCAAATATTCCGATACAAAATAATGTTAAAATTGTAAAATTAATATTATAAAATATAGATAATAATATTCGCTGATCAGGGGACACTACTAGTATCCCATGTCATTTTTTTTTTCGTTTACGACTACTATAGAATTCGATAGAGTGTTTCTAGCGGTTCCAAGAAAGACTATTAGCATATCCTTGCTGGAGAGCCTGGAGAGCCTTCAGTCATCGTCTGGCCATCCTGATATGAATGAATTATCCATGAAATATTTAGAAATAAATAAAAATATTAAAATATGAAATATTCGCCTCGATGATCATTTGCGGATAGAAGAAAGACCAACTTCCACATCTCATTTGCACGTTGAGCACGGTTCTCCTTTCTCGTGAATCTCTTCATCGAACTAGTTTTGTCTGAAACAAATTTACGTACCATTTCTAAGGAAACTTCTAGGAGGAAAGGTAAGTAACAAATGGGCTCACTACTTCACGTAATGGCAGCCTGCACACTCATCGAGACACACCATTTCACTCCACATCCAAAATTGGTGCTTTGTTGCCATACCAACTTAAACAGCTATTGGTATATCCAGAAATGAATATCGTGACTACAGGACCTGCTCAAACCTGAGCCACGGCCGAAGACAGCATCGGTGAGTATATTTGCCTGTCCAACGCCTGTGTCTTTTAGCTCATGGAACCATTCAGTAGTGCTGTGAAAAGGGATGCTGCCGAACTCGTCGAAATTGTTGTATTTGGATATTCTTACCTTTATTGCAGACACTGTCATATTTTCCTTAGTCTTCGTCGTCATGTAGATGTTCTCTCCGACATCTTCGATAGAAGAGTGGACCCAATGACATTGGTCCAACCAGCTCGTCATACTTCTTTCCGCACGTAGAACGATCCTCAGTTCCCTAGGATTCACTCAAAAGGTGATCCTTCTTGATTAACAAACCAATTTCATCATTTTTGCGGCCTTTGATGCAAAACCACCGAATTCACCTGCGGCTTTTGCCCTACCAGCCGAGGATCTGCGAAGTCTCCGTATTCACATACGGTTTGACCTTGCATGTGATGAGAGAAACATAGCGAAACTTGTTGTGCATTCTTAGAAGCGTATTTCTGGCCTCATCGGTCATTCCATTGTTGAGGTTGCAGATATCTAAAGATTACTGATGGGTGATGGTGATGTATATTCCATTCAAAGGGATCTACTGCATGTTAGTGATCGCTTACCTCCATATGATGCACTTAGAAGAGCCTGAAAAAAGCTTCAGTGACCTGAATGAAATATCAGATCTATAACGACCACTAGGAAATTCCAACTCACCAGAAACGCAACTGCTGGAAAGGTGAACATTATTCAAGTTGAGGACGAATGCTCGCCTATTCTTGGTCGAGTTTTTATGCTGTGAGTTATGAGGATATCCTTCATAACTCTTCGATGTCTCATCTGTTCGAATAGCGTGGTAGCAACTATGTCATGAATTATAGAAACGGTAATCAGTAGAGCTCCCGCTAGGATTACTGGAAAAAGCGACTGCTGGATATATTGCGAGCATTACGGGCTCAGGAGACATTCCCCCTTCGGTTCGTGGATTTTACAAACAGCTGATTGAACTCTGCTGTGAGACACAGAACCTCGCATCCTCTTCCCACTCACTTCAGACAATGAAAATATTTTAATGCACGTCAAGTTTATGTGACAAACTGAGAACCTAATCGTANCTGCCTTTTCTTCGTATGCATTTATACAGTATACAGTGGTCAGTTCTTCTGAAATATACATGACTTTTCCGATTTTGCGAGGAAATGCGAGGCGGCCCTTGAACCTTCACGCCATTTGGCAATAAGTATGCTTGTTTACAATGATTGTTCAAGGAATACGTGAATCCATTTTTCATCAGACTTTCGATTTCATGGAGCATTGGTCTATGTTTTTGATTCAGATCAGCTAATTCCAAGAGCAGTCAAATTTTCAAGCTAATTCAGCAAATTTCAATGAAATTTATGAGAAAATGGTGAGTTACTGTGATGATGGAAATATTTTGGTGTAACAGCTCATGAAGCTGGAGTGGCCAACCAAGATATCGAAAGATTATACTAACGTTATTACAGACACTTTGAAAGTGTTGCTAGCATGTTTCGTGCAGAGAATAACTGATAGCCTCTATCATTGGTAGAAGTGGGTGATGATGAGTGGTGACGTTATTGGGCCTAATGTAATCACCTAATGGAACCGGCAAAATATACAGCGGTGCGATACCGTATGTAAAGGCCTACTATATAAGAGAGCCTCAGCTGTCAGATGCACTGACTTCTCTTCACGATTTCGTTCCGCGACCTTTAAGTGTTTACTTTCAGAGAGCAAATGAGTGTTGCGTCGTTCTCACTCCGATTCCTCCTCACCTTAGTATGTTGTCTTTTATACCCCTTTGAATTTTCAATACCGTGTGAAATGTTTATTCTTCCACGATTCCAGAAAACCTCAAAAAGCCCCTTCAATGCTCACCTGGACCTTTAGTGGGTGGGAAGCAGCAGGAAGAGCTGGCTAACTTAAAGTATCTAATAGTTTCCTAGCCAAGCGCCTTTCAGAAGAAGTGGCCCCGCGTTACTATATCGATAGCTACTGAGACATGATCACCTGTTACTCGCTCTTCAAAGCTATCCCTGTCTGTGAAAGTCAGGTTGAATTCGAAAATTCCAATTGGCTTCGACGCAATGTGAGGTAATTCACTTGAGAGAGAAGGCCTTATTAAGAAAAGAGGTCACGATTGGATGAAGACTCAGGTTGTTCCTCTTCCCTTATTGGAGCGAATATATATCTACCGAAATAGGATTTCCCACGATTATGATTGCTGCATTTCATAATTAGCAGTTGGCTGTAAAAGCTAACATTTGACGTTGCTTACATGCAATCGTTCGTAAGACACTACTTGTTGTTTACTTTAGGCGTGCATTTTGTCTGCAATCGTGCCGACGATGGGTTGATGGAAGAGAAGTCCTTATAGTTATATTAACGGATAATCCCAAACCCATAATTGGTTCCTGCGAATAAATACGTTAAGCTTCCGTGTGTCGCTTCACAGAGAGTGATGGACTTTTTCTTCGTTTGATTCGTAAGAGATGCTACTAAAGTTTTAGGTTTTGGGTGATTAGAAGGTCATGATGTCAGTCTTATCTGTGTTATTCTGATCAACCATGAAGAGTTGGAACCATTTTGTAAAATGGAAAATTCAAAATTTTCAAAATATCTTCATGAAGGGAATTTCGTATCGTCGAACAGGGTTAAAGGGAGAATTAAGTAGAGCAATTTGTAAAATGAATAGTTGTGCAAACAGATACCTTATGTGCGATTCAAAAGGGTTGATACAATTCAGGGGCCATACTCGATCTACTAGGGATCCAATAAGAACAAAGGGGGTCGAATGAGATACCAGAGGTATTTCCTTTCGAAGGGAGGTATCAAGAGCAAAGTCTGTCGATTTACTGATGACACAAGAAATACAAATTGTCAAATATACAGTGCATACAGTACGAATCAAAAACGTGAGCGCAGAACAGTTTGGTATTCCCGAGAGAACAACTAGTCGACCACCTCTTTGTATAGGGAAGCATTAGAGTAGTAGTAAGGTATAATGTATCATTAGGATAATGGGCAATAAAGGATGAAGTCTTAGGCGTTTATCAATGCCTTTTTATGCATGCGCCGTCCAATTCGACTTGCATTCAAAATCGTAGTGGCTTACTGAAAGTTTTGATCAGCTAGAACGAGTACCGATCCTAGATTCGATTTCGGACCACGAGGTGTGTTAGTGTGCCACTTCTCACCACACCACATACGCCCATATTCCAGCAAAGCGATATTCTGGAGCAACTCAGGGATAAAGAGAACATTTCGCATTTTTTAAACTGAGAAAGCAAGTGGAACAAATTTCGAACGAACAAACCTTATAGCGGTCGGCCCCTTCAGACATCCCCAAAACTCCCATTCGAACTGCCTCATTTCCCGCCACAGTAGAGTTCCCCGTCTCCTGTGGATCTTGCCCCCACTTAGATTATCAGTATTCGAACTACCCTCCCCCCTTCCCTTCTCGTCACTTCAGTACCCCGCCTTCTGCGGATGTGATCCCCATTCGAACAATTATCATTCAAAATGCCCCAACTTTTATAGTACCCATCCAGTTGTGAATCCAGCTCCCCACTCAAGTAGTCATTATTCAAAACCGCATTCAGTGTCCGCCAGTACGGAACCCCGCCGCCACCGAGTCAGATTCCTTTAAACCACCACTCAAACCAAGCGCCACTACAGTACCCGGTCATATGCATATCCAAATCAGCAAGAAACCGCTCAGCGCCAGGCATAGGGCGGAAAATGGTTATGAGGGGAGGTTTTGTCATGGGTGGAACCATATATCATTCCATAGCGCTTCTGAAGGGAAATCTGACAGTGTACAACTTATCTGCAAAAAGGTCAGTGAAAAGGGAATTTTATGATTTGGGCCTGACGTTGCTCGAAGTTTGGAGTCATATCAAATGAGAAATTTTGGTCTATGTTATGGTGTACCATAACATTCTAGCACAGAACAAAGAGATGCCTACAATAATACAGTGACTCAACGGAAATCTCCCTAGACATCGGGGAAAAGCCCCTCCAAAATTTGGAAAATGTCAAAAGATCGACGCAATTATTTTGTCCTGAAATGGTATCATAGCCTCAGTGAAGCCTGCAAGAAGGAGTGTTGAGTGCAAAGACTGTAGATGCAGTCTCTACAACCCTCATATTAGAAACGATGGGGACTGAATAATTCGATCAAACATTTTCACATTGTACCGAGTAAAGTCGAGTACGTGGCGCACTCCAAAGTGAATGCTGAACATTTCACCCTCAGAAACCAATCAGTCCCTACAAGCACTGAAGCGTGCACTCTATGCACAATAATTCTATGCAATTAATTTCCAGATAGAACTCAAGTGCATGGCGCAAATCGAAACTAAGCATTTTCAACACTTTAACACTCCTGGAATACTATACAATGAACTGATTTATAAAGAACAGACGAAAAAAAAGGCGAGGTTGCGGTATTCGCACAGTTTTCGAGTTCTTACAGAGAGTGCTGTATTTACAAGGCGCATACCTGGAGGAGCCTTATGAAGTATGTAGTATGGCTGAAATGTTTTTTTTTTTCGTTTTTTTTTCATTTTCAAGAGCTCTCGCAGAGGTGATCATTGGTAACATTCAAAGGAAGGCAGTTTTCTAAGTATTATACCTAATCTAATATAATAGGCACAAACATAGATTGAGATTTTCTTTTCTGTTCGAAGAACATCTTTGATTTCTCGGAGGGACTAGCAATATGGGAGATGGCAATGTAAGGTATGGTTCAGGTGGGAATTGTTCTCTGTATTCTCCAGTTGCTCCAGAAATATAACTTTGCTGGAACATAAGGGGATGTGGTGTAGTGCAAAGTGGCACACTAACACACCCCCGTGGTCCGAGATCTAGGATCGGTACTCGTTCGAGCTGATCAAGACTTTTATGCCTTCGGGATCAGCACAAGATTGTTGTGGGCTGGAAGTGTGTAAGCCACTACGACTTTGAATGCAAGTCGTATTGGCGGCGCATCCCAAAAACGGCACTGATAAACGCCTAAGATTTCATCCTTCAGGGCCCATCATCCTAATTATACATTACCATTTGGGCTACGCACGCTAATGCGTGCACCACATGTCCACCATTATCAGATGTCGTTATCACTGGACCTTTTTTCCTCCGCGGGTACTTCATTAGTTGAGAATCCCAAACTATGGCGGTTGGATGAGCTTCGACGTATGATATCAAAACATAAAGTAACCTTGATCTTCCACCGAATTACAAACCTTGCTGGGTAGCGGTCGTAATCTATATTATAGTCATTAGTTATTATTAT